CTGGCCATCATGGTGAAACCCCATCTTAAATATATTAAAAAAAAAAAAAAAAGAAAAAGAAACTGCTAAATTGTCTTTCAATATGATCGTACACTGAACATTCTCAGGAGCATAAGAATGTTCTAGTCACCAAAACTTAACAGATTTTGTCATTTTTATCAGTGTTGTTGTCATTTTTACTAATGATAATCAATGTGTAGTGGTTTCTCATGGAGGTTTTAGTTTCCATTTCCGTAATGATTAGTGATGTTCCGCATTTTAAAATGTGTTCATTTGCCATCTATGTATGTTTCTGATTAAATGTCTTTTTAAATTTCTCACTTACATTTTATTTTATTTTGGTTTTGTTTGATTACTGCATTTGAGAGTTCTCATAGATACTAAGTCCTTTATCAGTTATCTTTCTTATAAATATTTTTGCCCAGCTTGCAACTTGAATTTTCATTTTGACAACAGTGCTTTTCAAAGAGCAGGAATTCTTAATTTTAGTGAAGTTCAAGTCATCAGATATTTTTGTTTATACATCATGCATTTGTTGTCATTTATAACAACTCTTTGCCTAACCCAAGGTCAAAACAATTGTCTCCAATGTTTCTTCTAGAAATGTTATAGCATTAGAATTTACGTCTATGCCTAGGATCCATATTAAGTTCATGTTTTTGCATATGTTGAAAAGTGTTAAAAACACGCGCTTTGAATGAAGAGACCTCCCCCAAACAAACAGGTTTGTGTGAACAACGTGGCTGTTTATTCACCTGCGTGCAGGTGGGCTAAGGCCGAAAAGGGCGTTAGCAAAGGGCAGTGGGATAGGAGTTGGTTTTATAGGTTTGGGGTGGGCAGTGGAAAGTAACAGAGTAAGATCAGTTACAGTGGTGGGGGTAGGTGCAAGGAGTATACATTACCGTAAATTCCATTAAAATGGTGGGTAGGATAAGATTAGTTAAGATGGTAGGGTGGGGTGAGGAGTATTCACATTATCTTAATAACAGTTAAGGTGGGGCCGGGAGCGGTGGCTCACGCCTGCCAGCACTTTGGGAGGCCGAGGCAGGTGGATCACGAGGTCAAGAGATCGAGACCATCCTGATCAACATGGTGAAACCCTGTCTCTACTAAAACTGCAAAAAATTAGCTGGGCATGGTGGCGCATGCCTGTAATCCCAGCTACTCAGGAGGCTGAGGCAGGAGAATTGCCTGAATCCAGGAGGCGGAGGTTGCGGTGAGCCGAGATCTTGCCATTGCACTCCAGCCTGGGTAACAAGAGCGAAACTCTGTCTCAAAAAAAAAAAAAAAAAAAAAAAAAACAGTTAAGGTGGCAAGGTGGGGTAAGGGGAAGCTTATGTATGGGGGAAGTTCCACTAGGCGATCAAGAATAATGGTGACCTCAGGGAGGGTCGGGGATGGGGGGTTATCAACCGAGGCAGTCAGGACTTTAGACTTCCTGGGTCCGGACTTGCACATGGAGGCCTGATAAAAAGACCATTGTTTCTCCACTGAATTACATTGGCATCATTGCTGAAAATCAATTGATCATATGTGTATGGGTCTATTTCTGAACTCTGGACAATTCCATTGATGTAACTGTCTATTAAAATCCCAGTACCATGCCATTCTGATAACTGTAACTTAATAAGAAGACAAGACTGTTTAAGATACCTATTCCTTTTTTAGTGAGTTTTGGTAGGCTTTGTCTTTCAAGATATTTGTCCATTTTATCTAATTTGTCAAATTTATTGGCATGAGGTTGTTTATAATATCTGTATCTTCTTTCTAATATATCTAAAATCTGCAGTGACACCATCTATCTTATTCCTGACACTGATCATTTGTGTCTTCTCTCTCTCTCCCTTTTTCTCTCTCACACTTTCTTTCTCTTTTTAGAATTTTATCAATTTATTATTTTTTTTTAAATAGATTTTTGGGCCGGGCGCGGTGGCTCACGCCTGTAATCCCAGCACTTTGGGAGGCCGAGGCGGGTGGATCACAAGGTCAAGAGATCGAGACCATCCTGGTCAACGCGGTGAAACCCCGTCTCTACTAAAAATACAAAAAATTAGCTGGGCATGGTGGCGCGTGCCTGTAATCCCAGCTACTCAGGAGGCTGAGGCAGGAGAATTGTCTGAACCCAGGAGGCGGAGGTTGCGGTGAGCCGAGATCGCGCCATTGCACTCCAGCCTGGGTAACAAAAGCGAAACTCCGTCTCAGACAAAAAAAAAAAAAAAAAAAAATAGATTTTTGGCCAGACGTGGTGGCTCAGGCTGTAATCCCAGCACTTTGGGTGAGTCACCTGTGGTCAGGAGTTGGAGAACAGCCTGGCCAACGTGGTGAAATCCCATCTACTAAAAATACAAAATTAGCCGGGCGTGGTGGTGCATGTCTGTAGTTCCAGCTACCCCAGAGGCCTAGGCAGGAGTATGGCTGGGACCAGGAGGAGGAGGTTGCAGTGAGCAGAGATCGTGCCACTGTACTCCAGCCTGACGCCTAGCCAAGCGAGACTCCACCAGAAACAACAACAACAAAAGAACTACTGAATTGCGTGCTTTAAAAGGATGAATATTATGGTAGTCAATTGTCTTTTAGTAAAGGTGCCATGGGTGTGGTGGCTCATGTCTGTAATCCCAGCACTTTGCGAGGTCGAGGCGGGCGGATCATGAAGTCTGGAGTTCAAGACCAGCCTGGCCAACATGGTGAAACCCCAACCGCGTCTCTACTAAAAACGTGTAAGTTCTTTAGTGGTGATTTGTAAGATTTTGGTGCACCTATCATCCCGAACAGTATACACTGCACTATATTTGTAGTCTTTTTTTTTTTTTTTAAGACAGAGTCTTGCTCTGTCACCAGGCTGGAGTACAGTGGCACAATCGTGGTTGACTGCAACCTCTGTCTTCCAGGTTCAAGTGATTCTCCTGCCTCAGCCTCCCAAGTAGCTGGGACTAGAGGCGCACACCATCACGCCCAGCTAATTTCTGTATTTTTAGTAGAGACGGGGTTTCACCATGTTGGCCAGGATGGTCTTGATCTCTTGACCTCGTGATCCACCCGCCTTGGCCTCCCAAAGTGCTGGGATTACAGGCGTGAGCCACCGCACCGGACGCATATTTGTAGTCTTTTATCCCTTGTCTTACTCCCACTCTTCCCCTCAAGTCCCCAAAGTCCATAGTATCACTCTTATGCCTCTGCATCCTCATAGCTTAGCTCCTACATATCAGTGAGAACATATGATGTTTGGTTTTCCATTCCTGAGTTACTTCATTTAGATTAATAGTCTCCAGTCTCATCTAGGTCACTGCAAATGCTGTTATTTCATTCCTTTTTATGGCTGAGTAGTATTCCACTGTGTGTGTGTGTGTGTGTGTGTGTGTGTGTGTGTGTGTGTGTGTACATATATATATACATACATATGTATACATATATGTCTTACAGAGTTTCTTTATCCATTCGTTGACTGATGGGCATTAGGGTTGCTTCCACGATATTGCAATTGTGAATTGTGCTGTTATAAACATGCATGTGCAAGCATCTTTTTCGAATAATGACTTCTTTTCCTATGGGTAGTCATACCCAATAGTGGGTGGATCAAATAGTAGTTTTACCTTTAGTTCTTTAAGGAATCTCCACATTGCCTTCCATAGTGGCTGTACTAATTTACATTCCCATCAGCAGTGTAGAATTGTTCCCTGATCACCGCATCCATGCCAATATCTACTGTGTTTTGATTTTGATTATGGCCATTCTTGCGGGAGTAAGGTGATATAGTGGTTTTGATTTGCATTTCCCTGATAATTAGTGATGTTGAGCGTTTTTTCATATGTTTGCTGGCCATTTGTATATCTTCTTTTGAGAATTGTCTATTCATGCCAGACCAATTTTTGATGAGACTGTTTCTTTTTTCCTTGTTAATTTGTTTGAGTTTCTTGTAGATTCTTGATATTAGTCCTTTGTCTGATACATAGATTATGAAGATTTTCTCCCATTCTGTGGGTTGTCTGTTTCCTCTGATGACTGTTCCTTTTGCCATGCAAAAACTCTTTAGTTTAATTAGGTCCCAGCTATTTATGTTTGTTTCTATTGCATTTGCTTTTAGGTTCTTGGTCATGAAAAATCCTTGCTTAAGCCAATGTCTAGAAGGATTTTTCCAATGTCATCTTCTAGAATTTTTATAGTTTCAGGTCTTAGGTTTTAAGTCTTTAATCCACCTTGAGTTGATTTTCACATAAGGTGAGAGACGAGGATTCAGTTTCCTTCTCCTCCATATGGCTAGCCAATTATCCCAGCCTAGGATGGAGGCGGAGGAGGATATCTGATGACATCACAAACTGCTGCATCAACTCCCCCAAGTCTCTGCCTCTGGACTCCTGATAGAGTATGCAGGAGTGTCCTGAGCCCATGTAACTCAGTGTCTCTTCCCATCACTTTGCGGCAATGGTGGGGCTGCTTAAACCAACCGCAGTCCAAGCAGCTGTGGCCGGAGAAGGGCTCGGGTACTAGGAGTGAGGACGCCTGGTTCTCTATCTGGACTAGTACCAGTTAGTACTAGTGCCCAGGAGTAGTACTAGTACTAGTACCCAGGACTAGTACTAGTCAGTGGCGGAACCTGGAACAAATGCTTTGGTTAACTGAATCCCTCATATTCCTAAGACAAGAGGCCTGGAACACAGACCCATGGGGACTTCCCACTGGAACATCGAGCCTGGCTTGGGAACATCGAACCCAGCCTTCGCTTCCTGGAAGTAGAAAAGTCCAGGGTTTCAGGCTCTGTCTCCTTCCCGCAGACCCCTTGTTTCTTGGCGCGGAGGCCCTGGGCACCGCAGACTCTCAGCCTACTTCTCTGGGCTGTCAGTTTCAGAACCGGGTCTCGAAGCGGCCTTGGCGCTGGAGTGGGTCAGGCCAGGCGAGCGCCTTGGGCACCTGGCTGGCCTCAGGCGGGGGCGGGGGGCGGTCATGCGCGGACATCGCCCTGGCGGGGGCGGACGGAGCAAACCTGGCCGGCTCCGGCCCCTAGCCCTGTTCTCGGCCACCTAGCGCTGCGACCCTGCTGGTCCCGGCAGGCGGAGCCCCAGTCAAGCGGAAAGTGTGGGAGGCGCTCGACATTGTGGTAATAAAGGGCGGTGCAGGCTGTGGCCTGGAGTGAGAACTCGCTGAGCGCAGCAGCAGGGCCTGGTCCTGCGCCTTGGGAATCGGCGTCCAGGCTCGGAGCGCGGCACAGAGAGGGCGCAGCGCTGCACGAGGTGGCAGGTGAGGGCGTCCCCGCGCAGGGCCGGGGTGGGGGACGGGAGTGGTGAGCTTCAGGTCCCCCGCTGCCACCGCGAGATGGGACCCGAGGACAGGAGCTGTCTCTCAGCCAAGAGCCCCGGGGAGGCGGTGCCGTCTCGGGGGGGACAGCAACGGTCTTTGGGGGTCCCTTGCAGCGCGCAGCCCGTCTCTGCCTCGGCGGCCCCCAGCCAGCGCGGACACCGCCTTCCCCTGCAGCCCCCTCCCCACTTGCCGGCGCTGTGTTTTCTCTGCTCTGGGATCCGCAGGATGACGTCTGTCCTGCTGCTTCTCTGTCCTTTAAAGTCACCAGTCTCGGCCGGGCGCGGTGGCTCACGCCTGTAATCCCAGCACTTTGGGAGGCCAAGGCGGTCTGATCCTTTGAGGTCAGGAGTTCGAGACCAGCCTGACAAACGTGGTGAAACCCGGTCTCTACTAAAAATAAAAAAATTAGCCGGGCGTGGTGGCGCACTCCTGTAATAACGTAAGCTACAGACCGAGGCAGGAGAATCGCTCGAACTCGGGAGGCGGAGGTTGCAGTGAGCTGATACTGCGGCCACTGCACTCCAGCCTGGGAGACAGAGCAAGACTTCGTCTCAAAACAAAACAAAAAATCAAAAAACACACAAAAGAACTACAAAGTAAATAAAAAATAATAAAGTTACCAGTCTCCATTTCCAAATCTGAGCCCTCTTACTCATCCTAATTTTTTTTTTTTTTCACCATGTTGGTCAGGCTGGTCTTGAACTCCCGACCTCAGATGATCCGCCCGCCTTGGCCTCCAAAGTGCTTGGATTACAGGCATGAGCCACCACGCCCGGCCTCCTTCCTAATTCTTTAAATAATTCAGCTAAAGGGATGGGGTCTTTCCTTCCCCGGAGCACTTCTCCAGGGCCTGAGAATCGGGCACAGCCCTTTGCCTGCAGGTCTGTGGAGACCACCAGCAGGTAGATGAGGAATCACCTTTGGGAAGAAGGGTCGTGCTGGGGAGGTCGGCGCCAGCGGAGTCTAGGGAACCTCCTTTAGGGTGGGAATCAGAGCCTCCCAGTCGCAGTGTTTGAGGGTGAGTGGAACGAATCCTGGATTGTCATGGCGCCTCCTAAGGGGGAGCAACAGTGTTTACCAAGAGGTGACTTTGGGAGGGATTCAGGATGGCCACAGATGGAGGCTGTGACCTGAGTGAGGCTGGATCAGGGGAAGCGCAGGTGGAGAAGAAACCATTTCAACAAGGCGGCTTTGAGCGGACCCTAAGGGCCCCGGGAGATTTAGGAGGAAGGATGAGAGGATGGAGACACTGCTTTCCTCTCAGGATGCTGTGTGGCTGTGGCTGAGGGTGGCTGCAGGCAGCGGGTTGTATTCATTGTCCAAGGCTCTCCAGTGGTTTGGCTGGCGTTTTGGGAAGTCCAGGTGAGGTGTCCTGGGAGCGGCTCTAGGGAGCCCAGAGGCTCGGGAGGAGGCCTGGGCACTAGGCCAGGCACAGGATCTGAAGTGGAGAGAAGTGTGGGCGCAGAGGGCAGGCCTTGGGGATGAGTGGGGGGGATAGGGGGAGATGGGAAGGAGTCAGGGAGGTCTCCCAGCCGCAGCTGGATGGGTGAGGCTCATTTCCAAGGGCATTGGAAACTGCGGCCTGGGGGTGGGCGTTCCTTTGGTTTCAGATCTGTGGCCAAGATACCCACCCACTCACATTCACACTTTGCCTCCACCGGCTTCACAGGCACCACCTCCTTGTTCTCACTGGTTTTACTTCCTCACCTTGAGCTGCTTCTTGCCTTTTCATTCTGGTGTTCTGCAGGGATCATTCCTTCCATGCACAATCTACTCTCCTGACTTTTGCTGGGAGTAATGAGGAAAGCTCCACATGGATGTTTCTGAGTTAGCAAGAACATTAAAAAGAAAATGAAACGAAGCAAAAACAACACACAATTCTCTAAGTCTCACTTTCAGTGTTAAACGGTCGCATGATGTCCAGAGGCTAGTGACCGGCAGGAACCCTGAATGCATTCCTGGGATGTCAGAGTGGGCCTGGGCCAGCCTGGCTGGCTGGGAGCAGACTGGCTCCACCCCAGCCTTCCAGGACCCACTCACTTGCCTCCATGGACAATAGCTCCTTGCCTCACAGCTCTGTCTCTGGATCAGATTCAGCATCTCAGTGTCTCTTGTGTATCAGCTAAAGGACAGGGAGGCCACGGGCTGGGTGGCTAGTTGAAAATCTCACAGGACTCTTTGTAAATGCATGCAAGAATAAGAACAGCGTTTTCCTCCTCCTCCCTGGCCCCATTGTCCTCCTCAGATGGGGCCAGGGATGAGGATCTGGTCCTTACGGAAAGAACTGGAGTTCACTGCTCCCAGCTCTCTCTCTCTCTCTCTCTCATTCTCTCATTCTCTCTCTCTCTCTCTCTCTCTGTGTGTGTGTGTGTGTGTGTGTGTGTGTGTGTGTCCGCACGCGCGCTCAGGTGAGCCAGTTCCGTTGCTGTGGCTGGTTTGAGCTGCTGCCATCACCACACTTAGCTAATCACCTTAATATTTGCACTTAGTTTTTAGTCAGAGACTAACAGAAAATAGGTTTTCTCCAACTTAAAATATGAACTTTGAGATAAAAAGAAAAGGTAGGATTCCAAAATCGCCACGTAGTAAGTAGGTCAGTAACATTCAGGGAATGTCGAAACTGCATTTCTCTTTATTCTTGGTTTCCAGGCCCTGCATCATGGAAAGTTTTTCTAATGTGAGTGGAACCTTTGCCATACGCCTGTTAAAGCTACTATGTGAAGATAACCCTTCACGCAACGTGTTTTGTTCCCCTATGAGCATCTCCTCTGCCCTGGCCATGGTTCTTCTGGGGGCAAAGGGAAACACCGCCACCCAGATGGCCCAGGTAAGCTTGCCCGTCCCCCAGGAGCGAGGACTGGTCTGGGTTGGGTATTCTGTCACCAGTTTCACACTCACACTCCAAAGCCACCGAGGAAGGAAGGCAGGACTGGGGCCCGAGTATGCACGGGCCATTTCAGGGAGGTGGGGGTCCACTGGGGAACAAGAGGGACAGGGCAGGGAGGCAGGAACTCTGCTCCACAGAGATTTATTGGGGGGGGAGAGTGTCATCAGTTAATCTTTTGGAAAAGACCATCCAAGCTGTCTGGTCCTAGCACAGAATCTTTGTTTAGAAAATGATACTGAAATTATTTGAAACACCAGTTGCAAAGCCCTACCTCTTTTTTGGAGCAAGAGACTTTGTAACTATAAACTTTGGTTGGTAAGGACTGTTAATACCTGTTTCGAGTTGTTTTTCTACCAAGGGCTCAGGGAGGGCAGAAACAAATTTGCAAGAAGGATTCCAAGGCGTGTGCTTAGTTACAGCTGCACGCTGTGCGGTACTGCTCAGCTCAGTCTCAGCAACACTCAGAGAACCTCTGGAAATGATTCAAGCTCTGTGCTTCTCCCCAGAGGCTTGTGGAAAGGGGAGGAGACTCGTACCTGAGATGAAACCGAAAGCTTGTGTCATCCCTGAGCACAGGCCCCTGAACACATCTTCATTGTAGGAGTGTTTCCCACTGCCCTTAGTTCAATATGACTCTTTTCTTTGATGACGCTTTTCAGTCGTGAATTACTCATCTTAATCATTTCCCAGCTCATTGTGTGAAGGAAAGAAGGTTTATGTGTAGAGGGTACCAACCTCAATAATAAGCACACAGAGAGGCTCTCTAAAAGAGATTTATTTGCACATAGAGCATTGCAGTGAAAATGTGCATGGCATAGCAAGCTGTGTGCATGTTCAGGGTGGTAAACGAACACTGCGGTTTATAAAGAAAAAAGTAAACAGGATTACATAATTCCTTTGAAATAATTATTTCTGGCAAAAAAAACTATAACGAAGGTGACACCAGTGTGAGGTTGGATGGGGAATTCCTGGGTAGATGTCCTTGCACAAGTATTTTTTGTGTAAGGCTGTGATGGCCTTTGTGCAAGGGTGTGGTTTTTACAGAGTCCTCTGTGATAGTTTTGTTACCAAGCATTCAAGCATGAGAACCTTCCCTTTGTGTCTTTCACTGGCTCTGTCAAGGTTATTTGTGTTTGTTTTTTGCCTTTTTTTTTTTTTTTTTTTTTTTTTGAGACTGTAGTCTTCTTCCACTGTCTCCCAGGCTGGAGTGCAGTGGCACAATCTCTGCTTACCGCAACCTCCGCCTCCCGGGTTCAAGCAATTCTCCTTGCCTCAGCCTCCCGAGTTGTGGGATTACAGGTGCCTGCCACCACACCTGGCTAATTTTTTTTTGTATTTTTAGTAGAGACGGGGTTTCACCCTGTTGGCCAGGCTGGTCTTGAACTCCTGATCTTGTGATCTACCCACTTTGGGTTCCCAAAGTGCTGGGATTACAGGCATGAGCCACTGGGCCCTGCAAGTTTTTTTTTTTTTTTTTTTTTTTTTTTTTTTTTTTAACATTAGTGACTTCATTTTGATTCTGAAGTTGCTTATGCTTACATTTTTATGATCTTTTTCTATGTTTTAGGCTCACTGATAAACCCTTATTGAAAGTTTTTTTTGAGAGCACCAAAATTGCCTGGTTAGCTTCTGCGGTGTGACGCCGGGAGCTCTCCATGGCTCCAGTGTGCAGCTGGATACTCCTGAGCCCCCAAACATGCTGAGTACACGTTGCTACCTGTAACATGAAGGGACGCGTTAATGGCATCAGAAATGTTTTAAATTATTTTTTATTTTTTCCTTCATTATATAAGTAGTAAAAATCCACTATAAAAATCTTTAAAAAAGGAAAGTAGAAGGGAGGAAAAAAAAGTCCCTATGAAATCGTCACATGGAGACAACCACCCTTGATAACGTAAGGCATCTTCCTCCAGTCTTATTTCCCCATTTTCACTTTACATGTTGTACTTTGGTGATTATACAGTATCTTTACTCTTATAAATGTTCTTTCAGTTAATTGAGGAGTCAGTGAGAGTCTGTGTAAAGCAAGTGCTCAGCATGTGTTGGCTATGGCTAGTCATAGCGGTATCCCAGCCGTAGGTGAAGTTGGTCTTAGCTTTTGGTTTTGTTCTATTTTTGACAGGGTTTCTTATCAACAGTCTACGAGCTGTCTAAATTAAATTTAGTAGCTTCCTCTTTTTTTCTCTGTTCTGGAACAGTGTGTATTACACGGGAAATAGAAATTGTTTGAATATCAGAAAAAATCCCTCAAAAGATCATCTAAGCCTTTTTAGAAGTACTTCTCTCTCTCTCTCGGTTTATTCATTGTCAGTGATAATAGATTCCTTTTTTGTTTTTTTGAGACCGAGTCTCACTCTGTCATCCCAGCTGGAGTGCAGTGGCGCTCTCTCAGCTCACTGCACGCTTCGCCTCCTGAGTTCAAGTGATTCTCCTGCCTCAGCCTCCCGAGGAGCTGGGATTACAGGCACATGCCACCATGCCTCGCTAATATTCATATTTTTGACTGGCATTTGGTAACAAATCGATACTTCACTGAAAATAATTAGACATAGTTTTTATTGTTTTAACATTCCCTTTGTAGACATTGCTGTCACCTCTTTTTTACATATAACCTTCCTTTGGGGCACTTTTTCTTATTTTTCTTATATGTGCTGTGCGGTTGTCTGTTTTGTATGTGAGTATGTGTGTTTGCTTTTAAAGAACCAGCTCTTGGATTCATTGACCATTTTTTGTTTGTCCCAAAATTCCTTAGGAGTTTTTCTGTATTTTTTCTAGCATAATGATTTAAAGTTTTAGCATTTCATTATTTTCTTGGTAATATTAAAAACAATGCTGTGTTTTCATTTATCTTTGGCCAAACTCTTTGGTCTAATATATATCACCCATATTTTGATTATTTTCTAAATCGTGTGTCGTATACTTATTTAGAAGAATATTTTTTGTTTGTTTGTTTTTTGAGGAGCCTTGCTCTGTCGCCCAGGCTGGAGTGCAGTAGTGTGATCTCAGCTTACTGCAATCTCTGCCTCCCAGGTTCAAGTGATTTTCCTGCCTCAGCCTCCCGGGTAGCTGGGGTTACAGGCAAGCATCACCACACCAGGCTAATTTTCATATTTTTAGTAGAAATAGGGTTTCACCATGTGGGCTAGGATGATCTTGAACTCCTGATCTCAAGTTGATCTGCCCACTTTAGCCTCCGAAAGTGCTGGGATTACAGGTGTGAGCTGCCACGCCTGACCTAGGAGAATATTTTAAATATTTGTTTAGAAGAGGCCTTTTTTTTTTTTTTTTCCTTTGTGAGACATGGTCTGGCTTAAGACTGGAGTGAAACAGCTTGATCATAGCTCGCTGCAGCCTCAAAGTCCTGGGCTCCAGCAATCCTCCCACCTCAGCCTTCCAAGTAGCTGGGACCACAGGAACACACCGTTGTGCCCCACTAATTGGAGATGGGATCTTGCAATGTTGCCCAGACTAGTTTCAAACTCCTGGATTCAAGCAATCCTCCTGCCTTGGCCTCCCAAAGTGCTGGGATTACAGGCATAAGCCACCGTGCCTGGCCTAGAAGAGGATTTTAATGGTTACTTTGAAGAGTTATTTATTTAGGAAAGTGTTTTTAGTAACATTTTGTAGGGCCATTTTCATGTTACTGGTATTTTATTTATAATGTTATTGATTTCTTGTTACTACATCGAGGTTAGAGAATATAACCCATATAATTTCTATATTTCAGAATGTATTGAGACTTTGAGACTTTTCTTACGGCCCAATATGTGTTATATTTTTTGAATTATTTACGTAATACACACACGTATAGTCTCTATAGTGTCTTATTCATCACATTGCTCATTTAATATCTTTATTTCCTTTTGAGGATTCTGATGATTGTATTTCTGCCTATTTTTCCTTGCATTTTTTCTGCTTTTAACTTTTTAACTTCATTTTTTTTTTACTATAAATTTTAGAGATAATTTTCCCACCATTTAGGGTGCATTTGTTTTTCTTTGGATGCAAGATTTTATCACAACCTCTTTTCTGAACTTTTCTTACCTTGCCATTTTTTCTGTTACTCATCGTTAAATCAGCAAGGTCCATTCAGGCAGGAGAGCTACATCTTTTACTTGCCTGTTTTTTATGGACAGGGTTTCCCCATGTTGGTCAGGCTGGTCTTGAACTCCCAGCCTCAGGAGATCCACCCACCTTGTTCTCCAAAGTGCTTGGATTACAGGCGTGAGCCACCACGCCCAGCCTACTTGCCTGTTTTCTATTCCCTCTTTCCTCTCGCCATCAGCCAGAGCTAAATGGATAATTTTTAAAATTGTTTTTCACAACAGGCACTTTCTTTAAATACAGAGGAAGACATTCATCAGGGTTTCCAGTCACTTCTCACTGAAGTAAACAAGCCTGGCACACAGTACCTGCTGAGAATGGCCAACAGGCTCTTTGGAGAGAAAACTTGTGAATTCCTCTCAGTAAGTTGAATCAATAGAACAATAAAAGTTGTATTCAACATACCTGGTGATATAGAGTCCGAGAGAAAGGCTCTAGAGAAATTGAGAAAGTTACGTTAACCAATTTTTTTTTAATTTTACTATTTTTTTTTCTAAGTTGGGGTCTCATTATGTTGCCCAGGCTGGTCTCGAACTCCTGGTCTCAAGTGATCCCCCTGCTGTGAGCCACCACGCCCAGTCTAAACTTCTTTTTTTTTTTTTTAATACCATAATTCTATAATTATACCTTGCATTATTAAAAACTTGACTCTTCTCAAGTTCATTTCTGGTTATTCAGGGTTCAATACATACCTATTTACAAATTCTAATATTTTAACGTATCTTAATTTGATCGCTTTAAAAGAGTTATGTATATTCTTTTTATTAAAAGATAAAATATTTAGAATTTTTGGAAGTTTGCTGACATTTGCTGACAATGCAGCCTCACTGAACTTTTTCTCTCCAAAGACATTTAAGGAATCCTGTGTTAAATTCTACCATGCTGAGCTGAAGCAGCTTTCTTTTATCAAAGCTGCAGAAGAGTCCAGGAAACACATCAACACTTGGGTCTCAGAAAAGACTGAAGGTCAGAATGACAAGTTATTCCACCCTCCTCCCAACCCTTCCTCCTTCTGCCTCTTCTCTCCTCCTCTGTCCTCCCTCCTCCTCCTCTCCCTCCTATCCCTCCTTCTCTCTCTCCTCACCCACCTCCACCTCTCTACTCCAGCCCCTCTAATTTCATGGGTGTTTCAGATGGTCAGAGTAATGTTGACTGGCAGGGCCTCCTGGCATACTGAACCTTAGTGGACTCACAAAGGTTCTGATCAGACACTCAGGTTTTCAGCAACAGCGATTTACTTTCATCTCTTCTCCCAGGACGAGAGTAGCTGATACAAATGTCAAAAGAGGGCTGGGCATGGTGGCTCTCACCTGTAATCCCGACACTTTAGGAGGCCGAGGTGAGCATATCACTTGAGGTCAGGAGTTCGAGACCAGCCTGGCCAACATGATAAAACCCCATCTCTACAAAAAATACACAAATTAGCCGGGTGCGGTGTTAGATCGGGTGTGTGACCACAAAGGGTTGGATCAAACACTCCTTTTAACCACGTGAGACAAACACCCCTGCAGCCTATCACATTTCTTGCTGGCCTTGTTCTCCAACCTGGTGTAATCTTCCTACTTTCTGCCAACCTGTTGTCCTCAAGTGACTTACAAGTCTTTCACTATCTTCAACTTGGTGGGTGCTCTCAAGGTGTCAGTAATCATGAATACCACTCACAGGTGCTGTTGTCATTTCTGTACGTAACAACCCAAACTCGGCAAATTTGAAAAGAGAAGTTTGGTTCTCAACTAATAATTCAGGATCACTGAATACATCAGGTTCTTACAAAAAGCAACTGAACGTAGGTCTCTGCTTTTCTTGAAAGGTAAAATTGAGGAGTTGTTGCCGGTTAACTCAATTGATGCAGAGACCAGGCTGGTTCTTGTCAACGCCATCTACTTCAAAGGAAAGTGGAATGAACGGTTTGAGGAAACATACACAAGGGAAATGCCTTTTAAAATAAACCAGGTAGGGAGAGGCTTTTCAAAATTTCCCTAGTTTTTTGAAGTTGAATGGAAAGATTTAACTTTGTAAAAGTGTAAGTAACGTAAGCATAAGCCAGAGAATTTGAAACTTAAAATATTTCTGAATGAATTTCTTAACTCAGTAGAAAAAATGGAAGGAGTAAAAGACATTTGCTGCATATAGATAGATAGATTTAACATACATGTAGTGTTTCATCACTGCTCTTATGGCCTTTGGTAATTTCCCATACACCATTGCAGCCACCTAGTTTTGGAAACTAAAGATCTTCCTTTAAGCCCAATTTACTTGGTTAGAAAGCAGAAAAAGAGGGCAGCCCCCTGGCACCAAGCAGCCTGAAAGTGCCCCAGCCCAGAAGTAAGAAGCTAAGAAAGAAGAAGAAAAAAAAAGAGGTGTTAATGTTAAGCTAGTGTGATGTATGGGGAGTGAGGAGATAGGGCCGGATGGAGGGAGAGAATGTGAAAACATATGTCTTTGATTAGTTATTTTAAAAATTAAAATAAGTTTTATTTGAATTGTTAACTAATTATTATTAATTCAGTATTTACAGCTTTCCAATATTAAAACTTTGTGACAAAGACCTTAGTTTTGACATCGAAGTAAAAATTAAGGCAGGCGTTAGAATAATTTGCCAAATCCTCCAGCCCCTAAACATATACCACTGTAATGCAATTAGAAAACGAAAGTAGGGAGCCTTCCTGCAGTTTTTGTAAGTTGTACTTTAAATCACTTAAAAAAAATTAGTTGTCTAGTTGCAAAGGGTGGGAGGAGGAGAATTCATCTAACCTTGGTTTTAGAACTATTTTAATTTTTATAATAGATGATCTGTATCAATTTTTTAAAGTAAATTTAATAACTGTAATACTTTGCTCAACTTCTGTGTGCATATGCCTCCACGGTATTTAAAAAAAAAATTTCCTTAGAGTATCAGAATTGAAAAGATTTTGTTAAAATGCATTACCATATACATAGGTTGTTACTCTTTCTGAAAGAGTGTACTGATTTATACTCCCTTTCATACTGCTGTGAAACTGTAAGTTTCACTCCACTTTATGACATTTTTTCTTATATGTTGGGTTGCATAAATATGAAAAACAATATACTTTTTTCTAATTAAATACAAATAGCTGTATTTAATTTCATTTGATTATATTGTTTTCTTAGATGTATTTGCTGAGCTTAATTTAAATGAGAAAAATCTGACTTTCCGCCCGGGGTAAATGGAGAGTATCACATTTTATTTTACAGAACAAAACCTTTCCCAAGGTAGTACTGTGTCTGCTTGCAATGATGATAAGGAAATGGTTGACTTTGTTTTTTTTTAGTGTTAACTGGGGCATGAATACAGGTGCTGAAAACACTCCTGGAGGCAACTGCAGCTCTTTTGAAACGGTTAATTGCTTCTTTCAATAATCCTTCCCCCAGGAGGAGCAAAGGCCAGTGCAGATGATGTATCAGGAGGCCTCCTTTATGCTCGCCCACGTGGGCGAGGTGGGCGCGCAGCTGCTGGAGCTGCCCTATGCTGGCGAGGAGCTGAGCCTGCTGGTCTTGCTACCTGACGACGGCGTGGAGCTCAGCACGGTGAGATCCGGGCTGCAGGAAGAACCCCGGGACACCTTTGCGGGCAGAACTCCAGCGCCACTTTCACCTCTTGTATTTACCTTCCGGGTTGGCGATGCGGCAGACGCAGCCTGCGGAGCGCACTGCGCAGGCACTTGGCTTTGGGATCAAATTTTTGGTCAAGGCCGACTTTCCCTAGTATTGTCCTCGTGATCTGCCAAATGACATATCCCAGTCCTCTGCTTTTTCATCGCTAGAAGGGGTGGGGGGGGGGGATGGTTAAAATGCCTTTTAAAATAAACCAGGTAGGGGGAAGCTTCTAAAAATCCCGCCAGTTTGGTGAATGACACCAGACTTTTAACTCTGTAAAAGCACTGCTTATGGTTAATGCCTGGTAGGCTTATGATGAGGATAAAATGTGGGTAATTCAGGTGGCAAGCTTACCGCATTGCCTGGCAAATAGTAAACGCTATACAAATGGGATCCTTTATTATAATTATTGTTCTTAGCATCATGCTTTTAAAGGCTAGAATCTGAAATAGAGAATGAAGAAGTCTTTCACCTAACAAGGCTGGGAGCAGGGGGATCGTGGCATCCAGGGAGGTGTAAAGTCCATTGCTCAGAGGGTTGGCCCAGAGACAGCCTCTGATGGCACATCCAGGCACCTGGCGTCCCCTCAGTGTGGATCCCTGGGGTGATAGAGTCAACCATGGCAAATGGCAGGCAGTGGAACCCCATGACTTAAGAGGCCTGTGTGTGAGGCAGCCATTGGCTCTCCCTCTGCCCACCTCCCTGACCGTAACCTCTCTGCTCCAGAAACTATGCAGAATGTCACCTGGGGCAGATTCCCCTCCTGGGGTGGCTCTCACTGAGAGCCCTTTCATTTCCCATCCTTTCCTTTACTAGCAATGGTTTGCTGTTTTTAAAAATAAGCATAGGTTGGAAAAAAAAATCATAGTCGCCTGGGCATTGACGCTTGACACAGTACAATTAGTCTTGGGAGTTGCTGGGTAAGGAAAGGACAGCCACAGCCTTCCTGCCTCTGGCTGCTTGGTGTCTCTCCCCCTTGTCATGGAAGAGGTACGTGGGATGGCGCATGAGACACAGGACAAGTGGGAGCGCACAAGCTTCTGGCAGATCAAGGGGCCGCTGGTCCTATGCAAATAAACAATACCCACGTGCAAAAGGAGGAAGGGGACTGTGAGTGCCTGAAGTCGAAATCTTAAAGTCTCATTCTGGTCTTTCAGGTGGAAAAAAATCTCACTTTTGAGAAACTCACAGCCTGGACCAAGCCAGACTGTATGAAGAGCACTGAGGTTGAAGTTCTCCTTCCAAAATTTAAACTGCAGGAGGATTATGACATGGAATCTGTGCTTCCACGTTTGGGAATGGTTGATGCTTTCCAACAGAGCAAGGCTGACTTGTCGGCAATGTCAGCCGAGAGAGACCTGTGTCTGTCCAAGTTTGTGCACAAGACTTTCGTGGAGGTGAATGAAGAAGGCACGGAGGCGGCGGCGGCCTCGGTCGTGGTGGTGGCAGAGTGCTGCATGGAATCTGGCCCGAGGTTCTGTGCCGACCACCCTTTCCTTTTCTTCATCAGGCACAACAGAGCCAACAACCTTCTGTTCTGCGGCAGGTTCTCATCTCCATAAAGGGTACATTTACTGTGCACTCAGCCATTTCCCTCTTGCTGTATCCCCAGATCCCCCCTCCCCTACAGCTCCAAGAGGATGGGCCTAGAAAGCCAAGGGCAAAGATGAGGGCAGATTCCTTACCTGTCTGCCCTCATGATTTGCCAGGATGAGTTCATGATGCTCCACACTCCGCTCTTCTATACTGACCACTCATTTATGCTACACTGAATCAGAATCTTGGGAAAATCGACCATACTGATTCCCTGCTGCATTAAAATTGCGGTCCAAATCCCCTAGGATGGCGTACACAGTTTTCTAGAATTCCACATGCAGTTCACCCTGGCTACCCTGTGCTTTCCTGATACCTCAAATACGTGACCTTAACACGCTGCCTCCGTGGTAATAAATGCTGCTAGATGTTGCTATTTTATAGATTTTCCTGGTGCTTAGCCTTTTTAAAAGTTTTAAAAATGCACATGTATATTTTATGTTTATTTTATTTTTGACATTTACCAATCATCAAACATGTACTTGAGGACTGCATTTGGCACTGGGGATGCAAAGGGGACAGAGCCATTCTCTGTTGACACTTGGTCTTCAATTCTGTGCCCAATTTATATAGCTTTGACAACAACCAGGTTGGACTGTTTAATGATGTCTTTCAACTTACCAGGTAATCCTCTAGTAGGGATCACACGTTTCTTTACGATATTGTGTTTCTCTACCTCTAACAGTAAAAATTCCAGTCAACCCCTAAAGCTCATTTCAAATGTCTTATTTCAGAAATGTTTCCTTTCTCCACAACCAGATGTGCATATGTGAACTCTGTGCACTTGAAGGGCAGCTCCTTTGTGGTAGTTCTTTATTTTATTAATCTCTGTATCCTTAGATAGTCCTCCAACAAGACCTGAAGTTCACCAAGGGTTGGAACTCTATCTTACATAGCTGGGCGCAGTAATACATAAGTTGATTATATACGAGTTCTGAAACTTATTTTTTTAATGGTTGGATATTGCTGGCTTTATCTTTTTTAAAGAATTTTTGTATTGAGGTGAAATTCACATAACACAAAATTAACTATTTTAAAGTGAGAAGTTCACTGCCACTTAGTATTGTTAACAATGTTGTATAACCATTATATATAGTGCAGTAATAAGTAAGTTGATTACATATGAGCTGTGAAACTTATTTTTTTAATGGTTGGATATTACTGGCTTTTTTTTTTTAAAGAATTTTTGTATTGAGGTGAAATTCACATAACGTAAAATTAACTATTTAAAGTGGGAAGTTCACTGCCACTTGGTATTGTTAACAATGTTGTATAACCACCGCCTTTGTTTAAGTTCCAGAAAAAATGTTCTGCTCTGAAAGGAAACCCCATCCCATTAGCAAATACCCTCCATCCCCTCCTCCCTTCAGCCCCCAGCAACCACCAATCAGCTTTCTGTCTCTATGGAGTTATGTATTCTTGATATTTCATATAAACTGAATCGTATGAAACCTTTTGTGTCTGGCCGTTTTCACTTAGTGTAAGTTTCTGAGATTCATTTACATAGTAGCATGTATCAAAACTTCATTTTTATGGGTAAATAATATTGTATTAAGTGTTATAGCACAATTTATCCACACATTCATTGACGGACATCGGGTTGTTTCTGCCTTTTAGCTATTGTGAATAGTGTTGCTATAGATGTTTGTGTACCTATATTTGTTTGAATATCTATTTTGCATCCTTTTGGGTATATAGCTAGGATTGGAACTGTTGGGTCGTACGGTAATTCTATGTTTAGCTTTTTTGAGGAACAGACAAACTGTTTTCTACCGTGGTTGAACCATTCTGCATTCCCACCAGCAATGTTAAGTTATGGCCATCTTAGTGGGTATGAAGTGGTATCTCGTTGTGTTTTTTATTTGCATTTCCTATGTTATGAACTAGAAACTAAAGTACAAACAAGATGGGACTCTAGTTCCCTGGGGATTTCCATAATCAAATATAGGAAGGCAGTTGGCTTTTCACATCTCAGTTCTGTGGAAGGCCCAATAAACTCTATGAACAGGAGTGAGCAATTTTCTCTCATTCTTTTATGGCCTTTTAAACTTTGTTATGATGTTTCATTAATAAACAGGGTTTTGTTTTCCTCTGTAATCAAATCTAGATTTTCCCTTTGTGATTTCTGACACCGCTTCCATTCTTAGAAGTACTTTTCCATTGATGAACTAGTTAAATAAAATAGCTACTTTTTATTCTAAACTTTTATTTTTATAATGATTTAACTAATCCACATGGAATTTGATTATGTATTATTGACATGCAGGGGGAAAACATAATTGTATTTATTTATTAATAGCCAATTTCTGGATAATATTTGTAAATCTATTTTTCCCTACTGTTCATTTCTGATTTTCCATCTTTATTCTTCTAGGTCAATGTTAGAATAGAATAACTTTTTTTTTTTTTTTTTTTTGAGACGGAGTTTCACTCATGTTACCCAGGCTGGAGTGCAATGGCGCAATCTCGGCTCACCGCAAACTCTGCCCACAACCTCCGCCCACAACCTCCGCCTCCTGGGTTCAGGCAATTCTCCTGCCTCAGCCTCCTGAGTAGCTGGGATTACAGGCACGCACCACCATGCCCAGCTAATTTTTTGTATTTTTAGTAGAGATGGGGTTTCACCATGTTGACCAGGATGGTCTCAATCTCTTGACCTCGTGATCCACCCGCCTCGGCCTCCCAAAGTGCTGGGATTACAGGCTTGAGCCACTGCGCCCGGCCTAGAATAACTTTTTAATACCCAAAGTAATTTTTTTAACTTTGAGATTTTGGTGGGGGAAGGATTAGCATGACATTAGCATACAAATTTCTGATGTAAATTGATGTTTTTACAATGTTTAGTCATCTCATTAAGGAAAATGAGAAGAGTCTCCATTTATTCCAGCTCTTTCTATACTATTTTATTAAAACCCTTTTTTGAGTTTCTGGGTCTAGCCATCCAGCGAGTCTAACTGGCTCTGGGTACTGGGAGTTGTCTGTACAGATTCCTGTGATGTGAACCATCTATGGTTCTCTCAGCTGTGGATACCAGCACCTGTTCTGGTGGAGGCGGTGGAGGGTGCAATGGACTCCATGAGGGTCCTTAGCTTTGGTGGTTTAATGCTCTATTTTTGTGCTGGTTGGCCTCCTACCAGGAGGTAATGCTTTCCAAAAAGCATCAGTTACAGTAGTGTGGAGAGGGACTGGCAGTGGGTGGGGCCCTAGAACTCCCAAGATTATATGCCCTTTGTCTTTCACTACTAGGGTGGATAGGGAAGGACCATCAGGTGGGGGTGGGGCTAGGCATGTCTGAGCTCAGACTTTCCTTGGGCACGTTGCTGAGGCTGCAGTGGGGATGCGGGTGAGATTCCCAGGTCACTGGAGTTCTGTACCCAGGAGGATTATGGCTCCCTCTGTTGAGTCATGCAGGGGTCAGGGAAGGGGGGGAAAGCCAGCAGTCACAGGCCTCACCCAGTTCCCAGGCAAACCAAAGGGCCAGACTCACTCCCACCATGCCTCTGGCAATAGCGCTGAGTCTGTTTCCAAGTGAAGGGTGAGATGGGTTTGAAAACTTGCTGCAGGCTTTCCACCTCCCCGCTAGGAAAGTAAAGGGCTTTAGCTCTGTCTGTGAAGTCTGCAAGCCAGATCGAGCCCTTTTCCCAAGTTCTGGCCAGGAGGCTTCTTATGGGGCTCAAATTGTTACAAAGTTCGGCTAGAGAATTCCTTCTTCCTGTGGAGTTTTACCCCCTGCTCCTCTGGCCACCCTCCCAGTGGATCCCTGTGGTGCCAGGCAGGAATGGCTGCTTGGGGACCCAGTGGGCTCCCAGGGCCTTTCTGCTGCTTCCTCTACCTCTGTGTTGCGCTCGGCTGTCTAACTTCACTCTGCTCCAGGTAAAGTCAGAAACATCTGCAAACAGACCTTCAGCTTCTCCCGTGGGGGTGTGCGTTCAGGAGAGGAGGGTCTCCCTTTCCCACTTATTTTATTCCACCATGTGCTGTTTGGATGGGAGCCCCACAGAGGCAGGTCCTGGAACCACCCCGCCCCCACACTTGGACGCTGGCTCCGGTGGGGAACGCGCAGGTGGAGGTGGTGGTGGGTGCAGGTGTGTGTGGGGTGCAAGGGTGCGGCTTAGCTGGCCCCGCAGCCAGGTCAGGAGGCTCAACTTCGCCACTTTATTCAGACCAGTGCACAGTCTTCCCATTTTACACTTTTTAAATAAATGTACTTGCAATATTGAAAAAAAAAAAAACAAAAACTTAGGGCACTCACAGAATTTTGGGGTGTCTCCTGGGTCCTGCAGGAACAGTCTGCTTCCTGCAGAGGGTCTGTGGGTCCTCTCAGCATTGCTTGTTTGTTCTTACAGTGGATGTGGAGCTAAAATTGACAATGCAAGCCTCCACGTGCTGCTTTGTACAGAGCTGCAGTCAATCTAGTTCTGCTTCCCGTTTGCCATGATCCTGAAATCCTCGAAACGGGTCCTTAGAGTGAGAGTTTCTCTGTCTTGGTTTTGCCCCAAACACCCACACAAGGGATGTGGCATCATAACAGAAAGGACAAAGTCAAGGCCATCGAGCTGCCAGTCCAGGGCACAGTCAGCAGTTCATTGAGAGGTGTGCTGAGACGCGGAGCTCTGAGCCTTGTAAAGGCTGGGAAAAGGGAGCTTCCGGTGGCTGTGTCAATAAAACATTGAACTCTGGTGCTATTGTTGGAGCAGAACCAAGTTCATTGGTCAGCAGTGTGTCCAGTAGGACGCTGTGGGCACCTGGCCTCTGAAGGTCACTCGAGGTTTACGGTCCAGCTTTGGCCTTTGCCAGGCCATGGCCAGGAAGCCGGAGAGAGGGCTCTGGCCAGGGCTGCGGGAAGGAAAACGGGCGGTGTCTTTCACAGGGAGGATGCAGCTGACCTCTCAGCCCTTGTGCAAATTGGAAAAGAATGGGCCAGATCCTCTGGACTCCTCAGATGAGCGATTCAGAGAGGGGCTTTTGAGAGAGTGCTGGCAAAGACATTTTTTTCCCAAGAGAGCTGTTGCGGTGCCCGCGTCCATGGCGGGCATGGGCGAGAGACCAGGTTTTTCCACCAAGCCACCTGGAGTCCTCCCCACCTGCAGCCTAGGCCGGCACCGGTGTCAGGGCTCAGAGCGAGTGTGCGGGGCGTGGGGAGTCCCCTGCAGCGCCCGCCACCCACAGTCCCCTGCCCACCCCTGCCTCGCTGCGCCGCTGGGGAAACCCAACGCTGCAGGCATTTCCTCTGTGTCCTTTAAGCACGAATGCGTCCCAACTGCTCGCAGGCTTCCGTGGAAGTGGGCTGGGGGAGTGCGCGGGTAGCTGGGATCTCTGAAGCTGGAGGTCTCCTAGGAGGGATGGGTCCTGGGGCAAGAGTTCAGCCAGGTTTGGTCGGTGGTGACTTCTTTTTCGCTTTTTTCTTTTTCTTTTTTGAGATGCTCTTGTTGCCCACGCTGCAGTGCAATGGCGCGATCTCGGCTCACTGCAACTTCTGCCTCCCGGGTTCAAGCGATTCTCCTGCCTCAGCCTCCGGAGTAGCTGGGACGACAGGCGCGCGGCACTGCCCAGCTAATTTTTGTATTTTTAGTGGAGACGGGGTTTCGCCATGTTTGGCCAGGTTGGTCTCGAACTCCTGACCTCAGGTGATTCGCCCGCCTTGGCCTCGCAAACTGCTGGGATTATAGACGTGAGCCATTGCTACTGGCCTGGGTGTGACTTCTTCCTGGACCTCCAGGCGGCAGAACGGGGGAGGGCAAGCAGCTTGGCAGGGGGGAGAAGCTCCCCTAGGGTCCTGCGCTGTGGTGGGCAGAACTGCGCCAGAGCTGGCTGCAGCGTCCATTCTTGGGGGGAAGGGAAGTTGGAGGAGGGCCCTAGGACGCGGGACATGAGCTACTGCCCTGGGGCTGCCCCGCTGCCTCCAGCCTGCCTCCTCCGAAGCCTCCTGTCCCGAAGCCCCCTATCCGGTCTAGCGCACAGGCCTCGGGCTTGCCCTGACCCGTGGAAGAGCAGAACCTTTAGTTGGAAGGCTTAGGAGAGAGAGAGGGACGCCGGTGATTGCTTTGGGTTTAGGTCACCTCTGCTGCATTTCTCCCCAGGGATCCCTGAGACCCTAAGTTCATTTTGCCTTTGTGGGAGGGCAAGAAAAGACCAATGGGTCTAGGAACACGGTGTATGCCTGGGATTAGAAAATAAAGATAGAGA